TTTTTTTTTCCCCCCCCCCCCCCTTGTTTGTTTGGGCCTTAAGTTTAAAGAATAAGCACAAATGTTAGTATTACCCAGTTTTTTTAAACAGTATGAAGCACAACTACAGTTAAAAATGGTTTTTACCTTGGCCTGGTGGTGAACTGCAGCTTAAAATTACTGGTTCCATATTAAACAGATCAGACTGCAATAAAGATAGCCACCATTATTTTACTAAGAGAGCATGGCCAAAGAGTGGCATATATAATATATATTTTCAAAGTTAAAAACAGGGAACATACCTTCTCCTGTTGCAGTCTAGCAGCCATTCAAGAAAGTTTCTGTTGAAAAGGACAGTTTCCAAAACACCTAGGTTTTTTATACCCTCCTAACCCATTGTTTCAAACAACTTCAACTACTGTAGTAGCTGGCAGGTTAATTTGATCACTGCAACTCTAAAATAATAGATCCTTAAAGACTTTAGGCACCCCTCCCTAGCCTTGCCTTTTGTGATCTGGGGGTGGAGGAATTAAGCTGTCTCCACAACTGAGTTGCTTTTGGCTACATTTTTTACATTTTTTGTAGGGCTTTCTTACAGTATTCACAGTAAAAGCACCAATCCTTAATGTAGCTGTACCCACTTCCACGTGGAGACCCTTTGCAGATAACAATACGTGTCTTGGGGTTTGTTTTTTTTAACACGCTTCTTTCAGGCTTAAGGCTTGGGGTTTAAATAAAATGCTTTTAAATGTTTGATTGTCTTTAGAGCAAATGTTTGTTCTAAAGTATTGGTAAAAGTTTGAAACATTTAAGTTTTGGGTTAGACCCTCAATTTTTTAAACTTTTAATGGCTAAAAAAAGTAGCCCATAGCATTCAATCAACTCCTGGGTCATATTTAAACTGTCCAATAGCATTTCTACCAACTCATGTGTCCTTTAAACTGTCCAATAGTGCTCTACCAACCCCAGGGGTTATATTTAAACTGTCCAATAGCATCTGCAAACTCCTGAGGTGTTATTTAATTAGATATTCATCAGAGCCCACCCATCCAACCCATCAAATTTAATTACTGAACATTAACCTCAACAAGGGTAAGTGGTCACACCTAAACCTAACCATTGACTAGAGCTCCCTGGCTATTCAGTGAGGTGTGGTTAAACCACTGAGTTCATGTCTAATAAATCCTAACTGGGGGTTTGATTTTTTCCTTTTATTTAAAAAACAAAATATTTTGGAGGGGTTTTTCCTTCCCCCGAGTTTCTACCATACATCTTTCAGGGTTTTTCAGTAAATGGGCCCCTTTATACAAAATGGATTCTCACAAACTTTATTTTTTTAAATGATTTTTTTTAAAAGACATACAGACCATGTGTTCCACCAAAACTTTTACACATGTAAGGATCACACAAACCTTCTGACAGAAGATAGTCACAAAAGCCTCTTTTCAAAAGATATTTACAGCTACCAAGTTTTATATCTCATGTGTATCCCCTCATCATTCTCTAATTTCATCCTTTTAGACATCTTACAAAAAGACTTTTTCTTAAGCAGGGTTCTGTAACTTTTTGTACGCACCAGACGTTCAATATAACGCTCTAAGCAGGCGTCTTTTGGCTTGGTCATGGTCTTTAAAACACTGTGAGGATCTTGACTGAATTGCACTGCATTTACCAAAGTCACCCCTTGTGCTAAGTGTTCTTGAGTTAAGCACAGACATTGCATAGCATTACCTACGGCAATAACAGTATTTAATAACGGACTATGGAGCACTTTAAAGACTAACAAGATGGTTTATTAGGGGATGAGCTTTCGTGGGCCAGACCCACTTCCTCAGATCAAATAGTGGAAGAAAATAGTTTCAAGGGAATCCTCTGAACTGTCATTCATGTTAAAATTCGACACTCTCCGGGGTAGAGTGCATAACTTTTTTACGCTTATGATGTGGCACTGGCTCAACTCGGTCAATGCCAAGCCACCTCCTGAATTCTTCATGGCCATCATCATTGGCATTCTCTTCAATGCTTTGTATCAGTGTTGAGCAAAAACAAGGTGGGCCCGATTCATCTTCCTTGTCTGATGCAATGCTGTCCTGGGTCTGAGGGTCAGCTAGAAAGGCATCGTCAAGCTGTCGAGAGATTGCCAGAAAGAAATAATGTAAGACACTCTGGTCATTTTTTTTTTTTTTTTTAGTTTACAAAATCCCGGTTTCCTAACCCCATGATGCCCCAACTTCGATCTTTCATTTACCTGTTTGACTTCTTTTCCATGCACCTTGTCCAACTCCTGGGAGCCATGGACACCTTCCTCCTCCAGGCCATCTAACTCATCGGGCTGCCTCGTGAGTGGTTGGGTTTCGGCGTCAGATACAGGTGTATTCATCAGTGGTTGGGCCAAAGGGTTCCCTTCAACTTCTCCTTCCTGCTTGGAACTGTTGCTGATGTAGCGCTTTCTTCTTGGCACCAAAACAAAGTTGGTGAAAGAAGCCATGTTTCCGCTCAGCGTTTGCACGCTCTCTGAAACACGCACTCTTGGAACAAGATGGCCTCGTTTGTGTGGCACTAGAACTTATGGGGAACTGCTATGCTCTGATTGGCAGAGGATGTCACGGGAAGCTCTTAGAGGGGACACACGACCTGCTTCTGGTCTGGTCAACCGGTCCCGGAACTGCCCCCCGATTGGTCAACGCGAGTCATGGGGCAGTCCTACATGGGAAAAACCCTTCCTGATTGGTAGAGGAAGGTGGGGCGAGTCCTTAGAGGGGTCACATGACCCACTTCTGGGCGGGTCATCCGGTCCTGGAACTGCCCCCCAATTGGTCAAAGCGGTTCACAGGGCAGTCCTTCAGGGGAAAAACCCTTCCTGATTGGTAGAGGGAGGCAGGGCGAGTCCGTAGATGGATCACATGACACCCTTACTTCTGGTCACCTGTCCCTCTTGACCCTGGATGTATTACCCCCAAGGGTGGGACTTCCGGTGACAGGGGATGGGCCTAACTGGGGTCACATGACACCCTTTACTTCTGGTCACCTGTCCCTTTGACCCGGATGTACTACCCTCCAAGGGCAGGACTTCCGGTGACAGGGGAGACGGGACTTCCGGGGCCAGGGGACAGGGTTAATGTTTGATTGATGGTAGGGCCCTTATACTACTCACAGCCAATGACAAAATTCAAGCTTTTAAGAGGAAACTGGAATTTTGGACCACTTGCATCCACCACCGTGAACTTGACAGATTCTCAATACTTAAGGGCTGTGTCTAGACTGGCCAGTTTTTCTGGAAAATCAGCCGCTTTTCCGGAAAAACTTGCCAGCTGTCTACACTGGCTGCTTGAATTTCCGCAAAAGCACTGACGATCTCATGTAAGATTGCCAGTGTTTTTGCAGAAATACTATGCTGCAAACTTTGTTTTTCCAAAAAACTTTTGCGCTAAAGGGCCAGTGTAGACAGCAGAGATTTGTTTTCCGCAAAAAAGCCCCGATCACGAAAATGGTGATTGGGGCTTTTTTGTGGAAAAGTGCATCTAGATTGGCCACAGACGCTTTTCCGCAAAAAGTGCTTTTGCGGAAAAATGCCCTGCCAATCTAGACACGCTTTTCCGAGAATGCTTTTAACAGAAAACTTTTCCGTTAAAAGCATTTGTGGAAAATCATGCCAGTCTAGACGTAGCCAAGGACTTCTTTGGCGAGATTGATGGCAACATTGAATTATGTGATATGTTGATGTTGTGTGATGAAATTCGTCAACATCTGGAAGACATGTATAACTCAGTCAAGCAGTATTTCCCAGATGACCAAGACAAGAAATTGAAAAATGATTCATAGGTTAAAAATCCATTCATAGTTAGGGAAAGGCCAGGAGAAGTTACTAGAACAGAGTACAAAATTTTCATTGACACAATTTCGGATTCCTCGATACAACCAACCTTTGAGAAACTATCATTTCCGTAATTTTGGTGCAGTATCAGAGGAGAATATCCACGGTTATTGAAGAAAGCTGTTAAAATACTCCTTCCATTCGCCACTACTGTGTGAGGATTTTCTTCATACGCTTCAACCAAAACTAAATATTGCAACAGACTGGATGAAGAAGCAGACATGTGAATCCAACTTTCTTCTATCAAGCCAGACATTAAAGAACTTTGTCAGAATAGAAGGCAAGCCCACTGTTCTCACTAAAAATAATGATTGTTTTTGATTTTGGGCAAAATGCAGTAATTTTTCTTATAAAAAATGTTGTGTTCTAAAATCTGAATAAAAAGTATTGTACAAGTAAATGATTTGATTGTTATTATTTATGAATAAAACACACATGAATTGATAAATATATGTACAAAATTTCACAAAATTTGGAAGTCTAATGTAGCCAACATTGATTGGTACAACACATACAATCAGTGGACTGCTGGGGCTCCACATACATTTTTACGCAAATAAAGAGCTCCAGAGCCCCAAAAGTTTGAGAACTGCTTTTTCAGAAGAAGAGGAATGAGGAAAAAGCACAGGTGCCCTAGTGGCCATTCCATCCATAGCAATCACAGCTTACCTGCAAGAGAACACCCATTCAGTCTGGACGCTCTCTTTCAAAAAAGCAGATTGGTTTTTCGATGCACTTTTGCAGCATGGACTCTCTTTTTCGCAAGTTTTTTCATAAGATCTCTTCCAAAAAAAGCTTTTTCCAACAGAAGCCTGTAGTCTAGATGTAGCCGGAGAGTGTGAGATTTTGTGGCGTAGTAAATGGACATTCCATATTGTTGAAGCAAGGGAGCCAGCAACCTTGTATTTGCCTTGTATTTTATTTTTAAAATGAGGAAACAAAAAGTTGTTAATTCAAGGATTTATGGAAAACAGATCCTGTCAAAATAACTGATACCTTTTGTTGGTTAATATCACAGGCAGGCTGACAAATAGTACTGTCATAATATACTTAAGAGTTCTGTAAAGCCTTTGGCTTAAGACCACACACTATTTTGATGTAAAAAATGAGAAAATTAAAAACATAGTACATATTAAATGGATTAATTACAAATATAGTAAATATTAATGAATTTTTAAATGGCTAATTGATATGTCTTAAAATGTAAAAAGGCTACTATGAAGGGAGTGCCACAGAAATCTATTCTTAGCCCTATATTATGTAACATCTTTAGTCAGAACCTGGAAGGAAAACAACAACAACAAAGTATCACTGAGAGGCTACGTCTAGACTGGCATGATTTTCCACAAATGCTTTTAACGGAAAAGTTTTCTGTTAAAAGCATTCTCGGAAAAGCGTGTCTAGATTGGCAGGACATTTTTCCGCAAAAGCACTTTTTGCGGAAAAGCGTCTGTGGCCAATCTAGATGCACTTTTCCACCAAAAAGCCCCGATCGCCATTTTTGCGATCGGGGCTTTTTTGCAGAAAACAAATCTGAGCTGTCTACACTGGCCCTTAAGCAGCTGATTTTGCAGAAAAACTTGCTAGTCTAGACACAGCCAAAGTGTGCAGATCACAAAAACTGAGGGAGTGGTAAATAATGAAGAGGAGAGTTCACTGATTCAGAGTGATTTAGGTTAGTTGACTAATGAGGTGCAAGTCAACTGTGTTTCAATATACCTAAATGTATGGCTATAAATATAGGGACAAATAATGTAGACCATGCTTTCAGAATGGAGGATTATATCCTGGAAGTGTGGTTTTGAACAAGATTTGGAGCTCAGAGTGGATAATCAGCTCATTGTGGCACTGTACTCAAAAGAGCCAATGCAATCTGTGGAATTTTGAGTTGCTCAGGTGTTACAGCTGCTGGAATACTGTGTCCAGTTTGATGTCCACAATTGAAAAGGAGGTTGTCCAGGCTTCAAAGCCAGGGAAATGATTAAACAAGAAAACAGGCCTTATAATGATAGTCTAAATAGAATTACCTCATTTAACAAAGAGGGTGAAGTAATTACAATTGTAGAAGCTATAGAAACCATTTCATATTTAGCTAGAAGCCATCTTGTATAACAGAAACCATTTCAGCTTTTCTCTCAAGCACGTAGACCAGGGTGAACTTTCTGTCACCCCGTGAGAAGAGGCCTACAGGATGGACTCTTGCTATGTGTTAATTGGGCTGGTTGGGACAGGAGATGTACTCCCTCGTACCTGTCTGCCATCTTGTTGATAAGGCTTTGTTTTTCCAAATTTAATTGAGGATTTCTGTATTTGGATGCCCTGACGTCAAACTGTTTGGCTAAGGGTATAAAGATACTAGGATTGATTGTATTAGCCAGCTTTACTGGGCCCGGCTCTGCTGGGACCATGTTTGGCTCATGCTGTGCTTTATTAATTAATAAAGCTGTTTATTAGCTGCCTAAACAGACAGGAGTGTTTTTTTTGCTTCAACACAATCTACAAGGGTACACCTATACTACAATAAAAAACGTGCAGTATTAAGTCTCGGAGCCAGCTGACTGAGGCAAACTGAACTCAGGCTATCAGGCTTTAAAAAAATCTACAACATTTAGACATATAGGTTCAGGCTAGATCCCAGATCCCCACATTTGGATGGACTGGGGGACTCAGAGCTTGGGCTCTGGACCAAACTCAAAAGTTCAAGTCCCTTGAGGCCAAATCAACTGACCTAGGCCAGCTATGGCAATGCTGTGGGTCTTCTATTGCAGCATTTACATGCCATTTTTATACAAATGAAGAAGTCTCCCCATTCTAGTAGCTTGGGCCTGGTAAAATCCCCAGATCTTACAAAAAAAATATCCAGGCAGTCAGCGG